ACCAAATCTAGCACAACAAATGAACTTTAGACCCGGGAAAATGCAGCCGAGAGTGCAGATTAGTTTCACTAACAGCTATTCAGAAACATTTGATTGCTTAATGATCTTTAAGCTCAAGAGTCAAACATTGCTTCATACAGAACAGAAATCATTTTATATACCCACACAAGAGCATTTTATTTATTTTAAACAAGCAAAGCACTCACCGAATTTGCACTCATGGTTACTCAGATTTCTCTACCACCACACAAATGCATTCTTTACAAGCCAGCTCTTGCATAGAGTCAAGTGGGGTTTTTTTCTGGCAGTTTTGCACTATGGGAAAGTAGGACTTCATTCTACAGAGAGCCAAAAAAATCAGCCTCACATCCCAACATTAGATTGTCAAATAATATACAAAGAAACTAGCTTCAAAAATGGATATATGAGTGCTAAGGGGACATACTCCTACTTCAGACTGCGCAATCAAAGGGTTTTTGGTCTATTTTCCTTAAAAGAGCTGCTGTAGGAGCAGGAAATACCCTTCTTAAAGCACTAACGATCTGCAGCGTCACTATAACCTGTTGGACAGCACTTGAAAAATGTCACATTTAGCACCAAAAAACAAAGGGTGGGCTCAGAGTTGTAAAAGGATTAGGAAACTCAATGCAGCAAGTTTCAAATGCCAAGAGCTATTTAGACCTGCTACAGAGCAGAGACACCTTCAGGAGATCCACTGCTGAGGTCATTGGGTATCCCACAGGTGCAGAGCAAAGGGACCCACAGCACCTCACTTCCACACATCTTGGAAGCGAAAAGATGCCATTCCTCCAAATGGAGGTATTTTTTATGCAGAGGATACCCAAGATTTTCATCTTCCCCCACTTGTAGGTGTACTCAAATAATTTTCAGGATCCCATCAGCTTTTTAGGATTAACTTACAGCAAAATAAAATTCACATTCTTTTTCTTGCCCAGTTTCATCCGTATCTTGCACTGCTACAGGAAGGAGTAAATGGGAACAAGCCATCTCTGAGCTGGCTACTGCCAAGAGAAAGGCCCAATGAACAGCATGGCCAAGATGCCCAACAAAGGCACCACACTTCTCTCTTACAAGTTTTTGGAGTCCACAGATTAGTAAAATTATTGCAGTGGGCCAACCACTAAATACACAAAGAATTAAAATCAAATATTAAAAAAAAAACCTGATCTAAGTTATCTGAAATGCACATAATTTGATCTAGCACTACCATGCCCAAGTAACAGCTACTTTCTGTCTCTTTCTGTTTTCTTTTCAAGCAGGTATTTGACAGAAACTTTGGGCTTTTAAAGACTCAATAAAGCCATTTCAATTTTAATTCCCATGTTACTCAGGACATTAAGTAACTTGAAAAGAATTCTTGATGTTGGATATTTCTTTCCCTGGGATCATCTCAAACATCCTAACAATCAGCTTTGAAGGTTAGTTCATTAGGCTTCAGAGCAAACTACTACAGGGAAGAGCCTAAGCGTACTTTGGCACAGAAAAATCTACAACCATGAAGAAATTAAGCACCACAAGAACAGCAAAGCTGTTTTCAACCTGTAGATAGAAATAATGAATAATGTATCTGTCAGAACTGCTAGTAAATAACTCCTGGAAATACAGTCAAGACACACGTTTATATCACTGCACCCAGAAAACATGTTTGAGGAAAAGTTTTGAAAGCACTACAAATTAAGTTGAATATAAAGCTCTCAAAATCTGCACTCTCAAGACAAAGAGTTCTAAGACATACTAAACTTGATTCTTAGAAAACTATTTTGCATTGTTAAGCAAAATACTCAAGTTCTAAGAATCAGCAGAATAATCATTTCTTTGCCCTTTAACAGTAGCTGGAATAATTCACTTCTTTTTTGTTACAGCCTCTAAATAGGTAAATATACTCCCTTCTTGAGTAATTACACACTTTATCTCCTATGGTTTTTACTCTCTAGGAAATAATGTTGGAGTTGAACATTCAGTTTTAAGCTCTATCATGAGTTGAAATATCCATCAAGATGCCAAATGGCTGTCTGCATTTATTTACAATACATTTTCCAGGTAAGACATGTTCTAATTGGCTGCTCACATTATATTTAGGATACACTCATGATGACTCCAGACATTAAATGGAAAAGGCCCATTTTGAAAGTACACAAAAAAAGCTGCCACCAGCCACTGGACTACAATTATTTCCTAGAGATTTAGTTCTAGGAAAGCAAGTTTGGTTTTGGTATTTAAAAACCTGAGCTGTAAATTCTGACAAAACAGAAAGAAGTCATCTCTCACAAACAGATTTACTTACACTTCAGCTTTTTTTCTGCCACAAGAGAGAAGACTGTCAATTAACAAATTGATCAATTCTCTTTTCAGTTAAAAGATTCTCAGCAAATCAATTTAATACCAAACAGGAAGATATGTGAACATTTCAGCTTATTTATGTATTTCCAATGGTCTGTGGTGGACTACCAGAGGGAAAACTACCAGAACTGCAGTATGTGCACGTCTCCCAGAGAAGGACAAGAACACACTTCAGCAACATCAGCCGTGCTTCGGGAACTGCTGAACATGGATTTTAGCTGGAAGTAAATCCAATTAACTCTTGCATAATTCTACACAACCCCCCTCAGCATGGCAGCTTTGAGCAGCTGCTGCCCTGCAGCTGCAACACCACCCCAAAGCCTGTTTCAGAAGACAAAGAAAATGGATCTTTACATAATTTTCCTATGTATTTGAGGATGAAAATTAGACAAAAACCATACATTAAGAAATCTTTACACATGTATTATACTCCATTTATTCTCAGGCTTACAGACTGCTCCAGCTTTCCTGAAAGGAAAACCAGCAGACCAGGGCCACCTGAACAAAATCAGCTTCCAAACGCCAGGCAGAGGGGCCCAGGACTCAGCTGGGGAAGAACCCCCATACTACAAAAAATGTTACTTGAGTAACTCCACAGTGCTGGGAAGGGGAACACAGAGTGTCAAGAATGGTGATAAACTGCAGTAGTTAGATTAAACATTTATTTTTTTCATATATTCACAAAATCTTCACAAAAGTATTGAAACTCAAAAAGGAATTAGACTTGAGTCAAATACAGAGATGAAATGTACAAGACAAATGAGCAGGCAAACTAAAAGGTCTTGAAAGTATTTTACTTCAGATTGAAAAACGAACAGTTCAACTGTTCCGTTTAAATAAAGTTTTGCAAGATATACAGTATTTTATGAATACAATGCTGGTCATTTGAGGCAATGTAAAATACCTCAATTTTTCCTTCATGCTTTTTTTTTTCTTTTTTTTTTCTTTTTTTTTTTTTTTTCTTTTAGAAAGATACTGTTTACCAAAAAGAAACTTGAGCAGTCCAGGAAAAGCTATTTTCCATTAAATTTATGAAAACCATAAATTGAGGCAAACCTAAGATTCCCAATGGAATCAAGATTATCTTCCCGCTACCACCACCTTAAAATTATCACATGCTTATTGGAACACTAATATCTGCACCCTAGGAGTACATTTGCTTTCAACAATGAGGGTGATTCTTTTAAAAACACTTCAGTGTGGTAAATGCGATACAGATCTTTGCAAGTATTAAGTTTTGGAACAGTTTTGCTAATAGCAGCTAACAATACTGGATTAATATAATTTATAAATAATTGTTCCCTAAGCGGTGAACATAAGTCTACACATTCACAATAATCTAAAACAAAATAAATAGTGACTATGCATAATGTGGTACAACTTTTACTAGTTTCTATGAAGAAAAGCTGAACATCTTGATAAAATTATCTGATCAAATTAAAATATGACTCTAAAAATTAAAAAAAAATTGTCAAATTAACATCACTTAAGCTTAGTGTTGGAGTAAATGTTATGACTTTCTGTATTTTTTGAATATATATATATATTTTCCTTTTTGAAGTAAAACACTTTAACACATTGAAAATGTTTATTAATTTCAGTGATGACATCGGTTCTGGTCTCATTTTTCTTTAAAAATCATTGCACTCATTAGTGCCCATAAAGGTCAGGTTGGTCTGTAGTATTCTGTAAATGCATATAAAAAGTTTCTCAAAGCTAACAGTACATTTTATAAAAGCATCATCTCAGAACTGCTGCATTTAAGACAGCCACGTACGCCAAGTACAGACTTTCCTCTTTACAGAAATATGTGAAAGTAAATGCCACTTAACTCTCTACCACTGAAGTGTCCCAACTCCTGTTCCAAACTACGCCTGTGAGTGCAATTTTCCATTTCATTCGCATTCATGGCATCAAAGGTACTGCAACCTAGACTTGCAATGTGACTGAACCACACACAGGTGGAGTTTCAATGAAATGAGAACTAGGTCAATGAAGAAATATTATGACATATGAAAGGTTTGGGTCTTTAAGGCAATATAAAGTATATTTCATTATTTGAAATTGTTTTGTTTTTTTTTTTAATAATTAAGTGTAAATATAAAAATGCCTAAGAGGGGAGTGAGAAAAAAATACTTTAATTGTAAAATTTACTTAAAGCTTCAACAGTTATCATCTCCTACAGGAGTTAGCAAAAATATAAAAGACAAAAAAACCCAGACCTGGAAGGGGGAGGAAAGGCACAAACAAGGAGGCATGGGATTAAAGCAGCCCAGGAATGCAAATGTCTGTAACAAACTGAGTTTTGGTGTTTTGTCTTTTTAAAACAAACAAAAAAAAAAACAAAAAAAACCAAAAAAGAAACCAATCACCACCATCAATCAAAAAAAAAAAACCAAAAAAACAAAACCAAATCAACAGAAAAAAAAAAAAAAAACCCCGAAAACAAAAACTAACCAAAACACCCCCAAAAAACCCTGAGTGGCCTTTTGTTGTTTCTTTAAAATAAAGAAGGAAGGGTCGAGGGAAGACCACTAAGGGGAGGAAGAGAAGATGCAACTATAAAACCCCATTGCCTGAAATGATGGCACTCTAGAAAACAAGGTGAAGGTTACTTCTCAGAGATGACAAGCTCCATGTCTACACAAAGTACATGTACATTTTATACAAATGAAAATCTTCATTTGCCACCATAAACCTTTCTTTCAGAGGAACAGCTTTTGCAGATCAAAAGTTCTATGAGATCTTCCAAATGCCAAGAAAAGAAATTCTGAGCAATATAACTAGTAATGTCTCTTTATATGGATGTTAAGATGACAATTCAGATTATTTTCCAAACTAATCCTGAGAAAAATTTATGTTTACAATTTAAACAGTAATGTTATGTAAAAAGTATTAACAAATCCACTATTACAAATGTCAGTTTTCCTATATGGTCATCTATATATACACAATAAAATGGTAAGTATATGCAAAAATAATTAAAAAATCATGCACAAATTACTTTCACCTTTAAAGGCTGGGTTTCCCTCAAAATACAATTTTTTGCCTTTTTTTTCCTATTTTTTGTGTTTTATTTGTTTGTTACCACCCCCTAGACACACTGAGTACTATCTCTACAGGTCAGCATGAGCTGATGGGAAATACATTTATTTTACATTCAAGCTTTTATATCCTAAATGACCCTGTTGTAGCATATGACTTATCAAATGAGCAGCCTTTTTCCTCTTTTTAAAAAAATTATTTTTTCCTTTTTTTTTCCATTTTTGTCTTTTTTTTTGTTTTTTTTTCTTTTTTTGTTTTTTTTGCAGTGATCAATCTTCATGTTCCGTTCCGTGGCGAGCTGGGAAAAAAAAATGCAGTTGCTAATCTATGTCTGAACAGTCTGAAGCTCCAGAAGAGATCCAAGGAGTCACTATCAAACTATCCTGTAGCATGAGATCATTGCACACAGAAGAACAGTCATAAAGTAGGCAACTATCTACAAAGGTCTGACAAGGCTGCATCCCTCTTGTGTTTCCTCTTTTTGCCGTGGAAAAACTGATGGTGTGATTTGCTGCCTTGGTGCTGTTTGTTTGTGACTGAGGTACCATGGCTTGAGTTTGCTGGACCTTGGAAGCCTTTGTTAGAAGAGCGAAATAACCGTGCAGATCCATGCTGTGGAGGAAAAAGAACATGGTAAATCTGTGCTACTGGGAATAAAGCATGGCAATAACATATCCCTGCTTCTGGATAACAAGCACTTCTGAAAACAGCACACTTGAAAATCTTGCTATGGCAGAAGAAACCTGGTCATTGCTGAGACAGCAGCACAGCACTGCCAATCTCCCACATGGGTGGTTGCAGACAAATGTTCATCTCTAGCCTCAAACAGGTCCAGAGAGAGGAACAGAGCACTTGGAATTTTGGAAAGTAAAAAGGTATTTTACAGAAATGTCCATAATCCAAGACAACACAGGAAGATTGCTCAAATCTGATCCAGGACTAATCTTATGCCACATCTTTTCAGAGACGGGGTACGTCAGATCATGGACGTGCACATTCCAGCCTGGAATTAGCTCTGCCCAATAACACAAACAACACGCTCATGGCATAGCCAAGGCCAGGTGTGTGAATTGTCTTGTTAGAAGACAGATCATCAGCAAATAAGAGGAATGTCTTCAGAATTATTTTCAGGAAAAGTATTCCAGAATGCTCTGGACTATGTTTCAAACATAAAAGACCTAATTTCTGAAAAAAGTGCAAGAATTTAAACTGCATATATCCAGGGCAGACTATATGTAGAGGCATAGAATATTTCCAGAATACTGACTTGCCATAGAAGCATTCCTCAGTGTGGGAAATCTAAATGCAAAAGCTCTGATAGGTGTCATCATAAGGATGTTTGGCTATAGGGAAAAATGAGGGGGAATGCCATGTATCAGTGAAGAATCTTCACCTCCCTTACTGGAAGACAGATCAACAAGTATCAACAGCTAAAAGAGAAGCCAGTCAGAGTTTTAAACACATTTTTGCTAACTGCTTTCACTGAGCGTAGGCACGCCTCATTTCTCAAATTTTGCAATCAAAACTGGACTGACGTGCTTTTTGCAAAGGAGGAAATGGGTGTGACACAGCTGTATACCTCTGGTGAATTTGGTGTCCCAAAATAAAGTCAGACCAATTTCATCTGCTTTAAAGCTGAGAAAGCCACAGTGGCAAATTCATCTGTGCAAGCCTAACAGAGAACCTGGTGGCTTTAGGTACAATCAGTGCTGGAAGCTTTTTAATGGGGCAAAAGGGAGGTGAAAAATGCAGTGTTCCCTTTCCAGAACAAGTTACCCTTCCATGGGAGATAAGTGTAATATTCAAAAAATCTACACAGTTTTTGTTGTTTTCAAACATTTCACAAACCTGAGATTTGTTCGTGTTGCTGGATGTATTGGCTGTTTGGCTATTTTGTGTTTTCCCACTTGACTGGGAGGATTCCAGTGACACTTCTTGTGACCCCACTCTGTTTGTGGTAGACTGACGACAACTCAACTGTTTAGAGGTTTTGCAAGGTGTTCCATCAGAATCCTTCAGGAAAATGTAAAGGATTAGTGAGTTTTTCTTAAGAGTGAGTATTTCTAAAAGTGAATTTTCCTTTAAAAATAAAGTTAACAGTGGACAAAACTGAAAACTTGTTTATTTTACTAGATATTAAATTTCTTTCAATCCAAAATTCTTATTGAGTAAAACAGATTTAAAAATGTATTGATGTGATTTTGAGATTTGCCTTTTATTTTTTAAATAGAATTCCCAAACAGATTTTTTTCTCAAAGCTTTTGGCCTGTTTTTTAAAGCATGTGACTACCAGTCTGTTTTACTTTTGAAATACAGTTTTCCAAAAGAAAAGAGGGCCGTGCAACTTAGTATCTACTATATTCATTTTCTACATGTATTGTGTCAAAAACACACTGCAACTTATATGTGTAGAAATTGCATAAGAGTTATCATCTTATGCAAGTTAGGATTCTGGATGAATTAACTGATTAGGATTGTGAGCTCCCAAAATGTATTTTGTGACAATATAAATCAGAGGGAAAAAAACCCAAAGAAATTTTAAAAAGCAAAGTCAGAAAAGCTCCAGTACTTACTACATCACTAGAACTGGACAGTGTGGATGATGATGATGATAAAGGACCTGATGAAGAATTTGAAGAATGTTTACTAAGTGTTTCTGAAGTTTTATTTCTAGGTTTTCCCAGTGCTTCATTCTCTTCAGCAAGATTATTGTTGCATTTGTCCAGCTGCTGAGTATCTACTATCAAGGTTACTCCATTACCTAGTGAGAACAAAACAGAAGCATCACCACACATATAAATGCAAAAATATGTTGGCTTGGAGTTTTCTGATATAGCCACTAAGATAGAAAATACGTGTTACATCCCACAGGACATGCACAGACATCTGCACACATCCATACCCTAAATCCATGCAGACACTCGTGAGTGCATCCGTGTGTGTGCACTGCAGGCCAGCACCTCTCAGAGGCCTGGTGGCTTCCTGATAGGATCCATTAATGCACTGAGCATTGCCCACGGTTTGAGATGGAAATTAGGGACAAAAGGCATGGAAGAAGGCAGTAACAAAGTTCAGATGTGCTGCTGTAGATTGTTTCATGCGACACTTCAACAGCACTCAAATACATTTAAATTCTGTTCCTATATGCCCAATACTCAGCAACTCCAATTTTTCTTCTGCTGGTGTTGCTAGAATCAGAACTCCAAATAAGCCTCATTGCTTTGTAGGATTTCCTACACTGAAAATTCAAGATACAGAACTCTCATATCTCACTAAGCTCTGCCTTAAAAAAAAAGAATTGGAATTTAAATCCGAACTAAATCAACAAGACAACCACTGTTACTGTCACCATTACCTTCCTAATATGGGGTTATTTTTCTTTTTTTGATTGCTCCTTTATCTCAAAGACAACACTTAAGAGGTAGAGATTTACATAATGTCCATGCACATAGGCAGTTAAAAGACAGGTGATGGGAGCTCCTGGCACTGAGCACCGGCTGTTTGCCATGCCTGGGGACAGCAGGGCCACCAGGGCTGACAGCTCCAATGGCACACAGCACATTCAGCTGACAAATCACTAGCACAAGCTCAAACAGGTAAAATCCCAGCCTAGCCAGAAGAATGGGTCCTTGCAACATCTTCTCTGATTAATTGCTAACAGGAGAACACTTCTGATAGGGAACATTCTAAAATTAACTGGAGAGTATTAAAATTAATTTTAGTTTGAAAACTTCCCAGATAGCAGATACACCTGCACCAAAGAGAGTGGAACTGGTTGCTAGAGTCAGCAGATGGGCAATGGATTAAAGGTGACTCAAAAGGGCATTGTCACCAAGTTCTCTGGCTAGATTTTGTGTGTTTTCATTTGTTAAAAACAAGATCATGATTGATATTTCAGGACTTTTCTGATTAAAAGACTTATTCCACTTATACAGTGAATCCTGGCTTAAGTATAGCTTCCTTACATATACGGTATGTTAGATTTTAAAATGAAAATTAAAAATGCAATATTTTAAGGATCCAGATTTAAACTAGTATGCCCAGTAATTCTTGTTAAAACACAGTCCACATTTAAAGGATAAAGGAAGTGTGACACTGAAAATATGATAATTTAAACAGGAAGATTTTTCTAAAGTCTGTTTTTGGAAGGCAGCACTCTTTACAGACCTCTCTACTGACCAAATCTATCGCAGTACAATAAAGATGGAGACATTTTATTCTTGTACAAATCTGACTTTTCTGGATGAAAAGACAGGAATACTGAACAAAAAAAGGAAATTGCTATTAAAATGCATACATTGACTTATGTGAGGCAAAAGCAACAACAAAATCTATACAAGCAAAATGTGCCAGAAGTTTCCCCCCTCATCCCTGCTGAGTCAAAACTCACCATTACATGAAGATTCCGTTCTGCTTTGCATTCCCCACTGCTTGGATATCCAGTCTCTGTACGTGGCCACTTCTTGTGTTACTCTAATTATTCTCCCTAATATACTGCAAATCAGGAAAAAAACCAACACCATCACCACAATTCATTTTTAGACACAGAAAAATAGAAGCAATGAATGAGATTTAGACTCAGGTCCTTTACCTTTCTGTTTCATTGTTAGGATAATATTTAGCTATTGGGGAAACCGCATGGCTCAGAACAACATAGGCATAATCAAAAGCCTGCTTCACTTGCATGGCACCATAGGAACTTCTCCCAACATCATTACCTTAAAATAAGAATATAAATAAATGAGTAAGATTGAAACTGTGGTTATCACCTTTCAGGCAGGAGACAGTAATTTGTTTTAAAAATTGCCCTTAAGTCCCAACCAACTGCAGCCACCTCTTGCAGAACAGGATTAGCATAAAGCATAAATATTTGAATGAGCTTAAAAGATCTACAGATATTTAGATGTAAACAAGTCCAAACCAGCAATTCTCTGGGTAAAAGCACAATACATGAAGAAAACATCTATTAAACATTTAACAGTACTGTTACTCCATTTTGGTTTCTGAGGGTACCTGGCTGTAATGGATCCTCAATGTACAGCATTGATGGTCTGTAGCCATCCAACATGCTTTTCTGCACTTCATCCTTGGCAACATAAGAGCCACCATCCTTTATTCGGATTCCAGTCTTCAGATAATTGAAGTGACGTCCATATAATTCAAAAAACTCTATTAAAAGAACACCATAGTTGGCATTGGGCATACAGGCATCTTCCCTGGGATGCAGCTATTAAGAAGAGAGAAAAAAAATTCATTCTTTTAAGTCTTCAAGTTATTGTCTTTTTAAAAGAAAACATTTCTAAATACAGTAATAAATAATAATTAAAGAGATATGTCTAAATATATAGTATTTTCCCTTAATATAGCAGTTGTGCATCTTTAAAAGAAGATGCTATGAGAAGCTTTATAAAATAATTACCTCTTTAAAAAAAAGGCTGCCAAGCACTAATCTTTTTGCATTTGAACTTTTAGTCCAATAAGTGAACCTCCAGCACAAATGGCAGGGTTCTTGTGAAAAAGCAGGTATCTGCATCTCACTAAACCTGGCCTGCAATACAAATACAGACTTCTCATGTACACGACACAGGATCCCCTCTGCTGTTAAGTAAGCAGCCTGACACACTCTGAACAAAACCAGCTCAGAATTGTAAGATATGAAACCTGATTTTTTTTTTTTTTTTTTTTTAATGAGCAAATGGAAGTGTTGCTACTCAATGTAAGAAAAAAAATGGACTCCGAAAGATTTTGGTTTTCAGCTATATGTATGTTGCCTTTATTTCTTTTGTGCTCAGCAGGGAACTGCAAAGGCACTTGGCAAACACTGAGCTCCAGTTCCAGGCTCAGGTTTTAGAGTAATTACAGTCTGGAAAAGGATGGACATATATTTGCCAACACAGTTATACATAACATTTAGTTCAGGAAAAAGAACAGGCTGATACAGTCAGAAATCAGCTACTTCATATTTGTCTGGTATTTCCCTCCCCCAGGCACAACAGTACAGATTTAGCTCATGCATTGTGTTCTATTATATTTAAGAGAAAGTTGTAAAACCTGTTTGTTTGATATCAGCTTAGAAACCCAGAGAACCAAGATTACACTCCATTTGTGAAAGCACATACAGGGTGTATGACCTGGAGACCAAGTGTTATAAAGGACAGCTGCAGATAACACCAACCTTATGGAACTTGTTCCAAACAAGTTATACAATACTCAAGTTGTTTTACCGTGAATGACCCATGTCATTTCATGTGTATCAAAATCATATGTATCAGTGCCTGGCACTGGTACACCAACAGATGTTCCAAACATCTTTGGTACCAAAAGTATCAGCATCAGAGAAAGAACAGTTCCACTGAACTTACCTGAAGGAAACTGACAGCCATTAAAAAGAGACTATAAGAACCAATTCCACCTGTAAATACTTCATTAAGGTCCCTCTGCAACAGGAACTGTTTCAGTACTAAAACTAGAAATGGTAACACAGGATATTTCTGAAAGAGAAAAACAAAGCTGTTACAATGCTGTGATGCATGCATACAATGGGTGCTAAGAGCATACTGAAACTATCTGTCTTATTATATTTTATCTTAAAGCTAACTATAAATCTAACCTATCATTTTTCCTAACAGTGGAGAAGCCAATGCCCTGCCTGTGATCAACACCTATTTTACCTGTTAAGACTCTGGTGGCAAGTATAAACAACAGGAAAAAGTTATTAGATCATAAAATCTGAAGTATTTGGGTTGAATATATATATATATATACACACACACACATTTGCTTTTTTTCATACACAGCAAATGAAGAACTGTGGATATATCAACATCTGTAACCAAACCTTCTTGCTACAACTGAGGGGTAGCTCAAAATGCACTGAGATTTCCGTCCTGCTAGTACTTGAGATGGCCAGAGTTAAAGAAAGCCCTTCAAAATTACTACACACACGTAACATTTTCAAATAAGTGAAATACTTTTGGGTAACTGGTCCTTTAATGGGTTTATCTGCATGGATTCCCCTAAGAGGTGTGGAGAACAGAGACCTTTGGGACAGCAGTGGAGGCTGGGCTATGCCTGCACTCTGTACACCCCCCATAGGGGAGTGGCAAAAGAGGCTCAATACTATCACTGCTTTTATCACACAGCCAAAAAGTTCCTTAGTTCCTACAGATGAAATGTGGGTCACGATGTCCGTGACTGCAAAAAGATTAAAGGGAAAGATTGGGAGCACTATTTAACTGAAGATCCCTAACTATCCAACTGAAGGTTTTGAACTATTAAGAACTCCAGTCACAGGCTGAACTGTTGAATATAAGTATATACCAAAATTTAAAGACGGGATTTTTCTCAGAAAACTGTATACTCTTTTAATTAAGGCTCCAACTGCCTCAGCCTTCCTAAATAACCTGGATGAAGAGAAAGAGGCATTTCCAAGCCTAATGCCAAATACGGTATCTCAGTTAGGTATTGAAGTTATGTGGGACAAAATAAGAGCCAAGAGAATGCCCTGCAAGTGCTTTATACAGAGTGCCTCAAGAACACCAACGAAATCACTTGGCAAGAACACACCAAGTTTTCTCCAAGTCAAACAAAGGACCCTCCACAGCAGCACGGCCACCCGTGCCACCTCTTCCCCAGCTGTCCGTGCTCAAGGCCAGCTGTGGTGTGGCACAGCTGCACAGCCTCGGCTCAGCCTGCTGGGAAAACAGCCCCGTGGGAAAGCAGCATGTGGGAAACCTTGCTGGGCTTCCACTCTGCTCAGAGTGCTTCCCATCTCAGCTGCTCCCTGCGCTGTCAGCCCGAGCCACGCTGGCCCGCACTGGTGCTGATCCTGACCCTAATCCTGCCCCTGCCCACAGCCTCGACATCCTCACTGGCTGCCTGTCTGCTGGGCACTGGCCAGTCTGGGAGCTGACCCCAGCTACTGGCACCAGGCCTGCTCTGCTCTTTGGGCCAGGGGTACCATGGCCCTGCAGCCTTGCTCCTGCTGCCACACACAGCTCCCGCTCCATCCTCAGGGGCACAGACCCCTCTCACCCCCTGACTCAAGGCCAAAGAGTCACAAGTAACTCAGGCAACTTGCTTTTCTTTGCTTTCACACACAAAAACACCTTCAGGCTTTCTTGAGAAGACTATCTCCCATACTGAAATTCAGAAGTGTGTAGTACAATGAACTGCAGTTAAAAGAGCAGAATACATGAAACAGGGATTAGTGCATTTTCCTTAATCATTGTACCATTAAAACTACTCCACGTTTTATTCTTGTATTTTAGTATCTTCATGCCTTTTAAGGCAATATATCTAAAACTTAGTAACAGCCCTCAGCATTACCAGACAACAGAAAACAACAGAGTAAAAGTATATCTCTAGTGAGGATGCAGTCAAAGTAAAACAGAAATTAAAAATAAGTTATCAGCATGTAGTTCCATGATTGTGTTGCCTAACCTTGATAAAATCTTTGATGAGCTGGGCTGCTTTAACCCCATTCTGTACATTAAAGCTTATATCAACTTTTACTTCAGTGAAGGAATCTGTCAGTTTAATAATAGGTACCTGCAAAAGAAAGATACAGTAAGTCAATACAGATTTCCAAGACACACTTGTTTTCATTTATAACTTATATGCACCAGTAAACTTGAAATTTTTCATGAATTTATAGAGAGGAGGTAGGCAGAGAAATCAGGACTCCTATTTATGAACTCGCTCATCCTCCCAACCTGTTTACATAAACTTTGCTTTTCTAACTCATAAATGCTATTTTCAATTTACTCTCCTGCTGAACAGAACTTAATGCTTCACCTTCCAGGTGATTTATTTTAGATTGTTTTGGTGAGTTGCTGTTGCAGCTGCTCAGCTCTGGTGGGGACCACAGACACCAGAGGGAGACAAACACTGGAGAAACACAGAGAAATGGTCCTGGAGACATCAGAAATGTCCCAGTTTGTGTCACTGGGGTCATCACTTCCTCACCAAAATGAACTTCAATCAAGAAGTACAAGATACGGAGAGTACTCTGAGATATCTCCACCTGAATGATTACCAAATTACCTCTCTCTATAATAACATGACTTAGATACCCCAATAGTCTTACATACTCCTACAATTAGCAAAAGGTAGGAAATTATAATGGAATTAATCTATTTTTTGCAAGACATACCACCACGTATTTAGACAAGCCTGTATTTAGTACTTCTAAGTGAAAACTGATTATACCTGCTTACTTGCAAAAAGAAAAAAGAAGTTATTTACTTATGCAAAAACTCAGTCCAGAAATGCACTAAGCACATCAATGCACAACACTGACTAGTCCAATCTCTCTTAAAAGCAAGAGAAATTTGTGCATATGAAATATCAGACAATTTCCACAATAAAAAAAATGTTTTTGTTATTGCACTATCAATTATTTTGTCGGTAATAAAAATCATACTAAATAAAAAAGTTCATATGTTCTATTTCAAATTTAATATACCAAATAGTTTCTGCCTATGAAAATTCATTCTTTTAAGCAACATCATTCTTTGATTAGAAATTTAGCTTAAACAAGGAAATGCCCTCTTCCCCCAAACTTACAGTTGCTTTATCTAAAACCTTTACTGAATTTTCATCTGCTACATTGTGCTTTCTAAGAGCTTCTTCCAGGGTCCAAAGAGGTAATGTCTCCCATTTTCCAAACACAACTAAATCAATATCACTGAAACGAAAAAAAAATATATTTATTCAAATTAAAAGAACCAGTACACTTAAAATACCAACAACTGACATCTATATGTAACTCAAATAAAGCTGACAGAACATAGCTTAACCAAATAATTAATTCTGATTTTTCCAAGGAAATGGTTGGAGATGAACTCTTACACTTGGGGAAATACAGACCATTTCAGGTTACCTAGAGGGGGGACAGACAAACATAAATCAGTTAGGCTGCAGAGCCTAAGATTAGTCTCCTCAGGCCACACTGTGAGCAGAGAGGATCAGCTTCTCTGGAGTGAATCAGAGTAAGAAATCAACTTGTTGTGAATCACCACCTCTGGGCTGTACTCATCAGGAATGTTGATTTAACAGCCTGACACTGAAAGGAAAAGTCCTGTTTCCCATCTCTACCCCCAGATACATGACCCTGTCTCTTCCTTTGCTCCAGGTTTGGTGTTTGCCTAATCCACAGCAAAACAGTTCAACCCAGTAACGGGTCTGGCAGAAACCTTCTTCACTTCCCCTTTAAAGAACCCACAGAATATTCTGGGGTAATTTCCTGCCTCTTTGCATCTCTTAAGTTGATTTTCTGAATGACCAGAGCACCAGAGGGCTCAGGGTAAGCTGCTGGCCTGTAGTGCCAATAGGAAGAAAGGAAAGGGAGAAGAAAACATGGCAACTTGGATTTTAGGAAGCAACAAGCTATTAAATAAGATCAAACTACCTAATTAACTTCGCTCATTAACTCAGCTTCTTGAAGGGGTGTCTCCATCCCACTACACTTCCTCCCTATGCACACACAGTCATTTCACTACACAGGGAGCTGACACCCCAATTCAACCCCTGAACTCAAATTCAAAAGGTGGCTGGTGTCACATCTGAAGCCAGTGAGGGCTACTGTGAGATCCTGAGCTTCTCCCTCTTTGCTCCCCTTTGATTCCCTGCTTGGCCAGGAGCACGAACGAGGTGAGTGTGTAACCCTATAGTTAGGCTAGCAGGATCCTTCAGTAACAGGGAAACTGTGTAACAGAAAACAAAAAAATAGTTTAGAAATACTTCCCCCTGCAACAGATTCTATAGATCTGATGATTGACAAACACCAGTGCTTTAACAACCCAAAAGAAACTACACCTGCATTAGATGAGCTGTCTCCTGCCAAGCAGCAGTTCAGCCACAGACCATTGGGCTGACAAGGATAGGCAGCACCCGGCAACCTCCAGAAACGTGTTCAAAACTGGCTTGGAGAGCAGGAAATGCTGCTGGACATTTCTCCTCTAAGCTAAATTAGTGTTAAACCTACTGCTGACAGTTAAACACAGGAGACATTTTTCTGATACACACCAAGAGAAAAAGCAGCTCTGTTGCCACCTTGAGCATAGATGCTGCCTGCAAAGGGACATGGAGATCCAGCAGCAAAGCAGCTGTGTGCCCAAACCTTCAACAGCAGCTTAAGTTAATGGATATAGAGCAAATCCCAACAAAGAGATAGCATTAAAAACACACTTCAGGCCTTTCTGAATCCCAGAACCTGAAATCTAAACAAACTGTTACAGAGGTAGGGAAAACTTAGGGCAAAGGGAAGCTTTGATAGAAGGCAACAGTGAAATAATGACCAACATACAAATGATGACTATTTTGAAAGTTTGGCAAGCACTGCCACAGGAAGGATCTTTATGGGTTTATGTACTGTATTTGAAGTATCTTTATTTGTTCTCTCCCAAAACCTCACTTGAAAGAAATACTCAATAAATGCAGTATATGACAAGAGAAAAGCATTTGTTACATCTGTTTCAAAGCAATCAAGTAAATACAGTAATGTATACATCAACTGGCCAGGAATCTCTCTCTAGCATTACCAGCATCAAATCAAATTTAATTTTAACCTTTAACTTTAAAAAGGTTAGGAATGAGGCCAAATGTGAAAACAATGAGTACTTGTATACCTCACTTCTGGCTTTACAAAAACTGAGAAATTAGACTTCCTTACACCTCCTAAAACTAAAGCAGGTACTAAAGCATCTGTCAGGTTCTTTCTTTTACAAATAGAGATGGAACAGTGATGAGGACATCCCTCACCTGCTGTCAGTACTACATGTCCTCCTGTTCCCATAGTATGGAACTTAGTTCAAAAATTATCCTCAGATTTATGTTATTTAAATGTGTTTATCCCCTGCAACCATTTAAGCCTTTTACTCCATTTCTATTTAGTTGTCATAAATAGTCACAACTTCTACACAGAAGATACCAGTGTTGCTGATTAAAGACTCTTATGAAAACTAGCAATAAATTTGGAAAAGGCAGATGTTGAGTATTGCACAGATTTCACAAAAGAAGACTGAAAGAAAAAAAAAAAGCAATTCTGTATGTAACATTTTCTCTTCAGCACTAACATTAACAAAGTGCTGTTAAACATTTCAATTTAGTTATCTGCAGAGACAAAATTTAGCTTTTCTATTAGGGCCAACATCTTCTTTTGGTATTAATGAAAGCAAATTCCAACATCTTTGACCATATGGTAATTCAGATCATTCTAGTGATATATGCAAGATCTATATAGACACGTGTTACAGTCAATAGTCTTATTTATTGTATTTCTGTACACTTTTCAGACAACTAATAGCTTAACACTTTCTTAGCATAACAAGTATTGGCACAAGTAACAGATCCTGGGAGAGCAGATAAATAACCTCAAGGTTACAGGCTTAACAAGTTACTTTTCTTTTGTGTGGAATTTACACTGAAAAAATTACTAACCTTGTAGGTAAATATAAACCAGTTTTAAAACTTCCAAATATCTGCACCTGAAACACAAGAAAAGGTTGTATAAGAAAACATAGAGGAAGAAATAAGAAATGTTTCAGGCTTCAGAAGACAAAGAAGCCTATTAAGCTGCTTGTAGAGGCTGGCTATTGCTACCCTCCATTGGCAGGTTTTGGTATTGCTAACAGGCACTCAACACTTCTGTTAAAGCATACACATCCTCAGTGTACTCCAAAACAGCTGATCCTCATTGTTTTTACTCATAAAACATTAATAACTTTGATTTTTCTAATAAGAAACTGCTCTGCAATGTAAAAATTGTTCCCATTACCACATTTGTCAAAAACCCAGAACCCAAAATTTTAAAATGCTTAACGATGACAGAACATTTAAGAAAAACAGTATTAGTTTAATTTGCTTTTTGTTTTCACATCTCATAGTATACCTCTCAGTATTTATGCATTTTTGAAGTTTAATGTATTTCCATTGCTTTGCATATTTAAAAAAAAATAAAATTCTATCATGACCCATTTTTTTTCCTGCATTACAAAGCAAGCAGCACAACTCTGTCTATTTCTGCTTAAACAAGAAGTTTCATAAAGCTTCACATCCCACAGAATTGCTTTATTATGCTGGATTTTTACTAGCACTGCAGGTGTAAATCATCAGGTTTCCCCTGTAAGCTGTCCAAAACCACGCTCTCATTACTCAGCCAAGCCTTGCAGGGAGGTCGGACTCACTTGCTGAGTCTCAAAGTGGGGTTGAGGAGACTTCAAAGTAAAAAATATCTACACATTTGGGCTAATTTTCAGCCATCCTTCTGATATGTTTCCTGGAGCCACCTTATACAGACTTGAGTATTCTGCTTTAATGAGTCTCATATACACTTGATTGCCACCTATTTGTATGTCAAGTGACCCACTTTTTATGTTTTTCCCCTTCAGGATAAGAAATATCCTGGATATCAGGATAAGAAAAGGGGGAGACAGGAAAAGGTGATGTTTTGCAAGTGCCTTAATACTTTAGTAGACTAAAAAGCAGTTTGAGTGCCTCTTCCCAATTGTTTTTTTAGCATTTCACTCCTTTTCGCCCCTCACTCCACACCCAATAAAAAGTACATACACAATTAAATATTAAAAGTTCACATCTTCTTAAACTGGCAAAGACTGAGCAAGGTGCCACAGCATGAGTATCAATACTGTACAAAAACATAAAGGCATTACAAAGCTAAGAATGTAATAATAATAATAATAACAACAACCACCATTTTTAATCCAGAATAGTAATTCAAGTACCCTCTGTAAAACTGGGTTGAGTCAAACCAGGATTCACTTGGGCACTAAAAACAGCAGAAAAGTGCTTTTGCACAATATAACAGCCACTGATGGGTTCAGAAAAAACTAAATGTGCTTTCACATTATCAAACAAAATAGTGTGCTCAGCTGAACAGCAAAGAGAGCCTTTCACTGAATAAACAACCCTGAAAGTATTCATAAACTTACTGATACAACATATATGACCTTTACCAAAAGGAATGAGACAACATGTGCTCTTGTACAATAATTTGGAGTATGAGAAACACTGAACTATTAAAAAAGAAGCCCACACCCACACTTCAACCACTCTCTCACAAAAACTGGAAAGAGAAAAGAGGAAGAGTGAGGAACTCAGACCACAAATTTTAAAGGATTTTAATTTATTATCAAATTAGAATTTAAACTGTTGAAGCACTGTGGCTATGCATGTATTTAAAGCATCCCAAACACAGAACACTATTATGGCTTGAGACATGAGCATTTGTTTTTGTGGTGTACCAATACTGCCAATCATGTTTTTATTGTTTGTGGACAGAGATCTGTATTTGCACTCATAAGATAACGTCAGTCTTCAGAGGACTATAATGACTCCTAATCCCCTATGTTATTGTTACTATTTATCCCACATTTCTGTGAACTTGTTCATATTAAATGCCACAGTTCCTGAAGGAGCTTTAATTACAGTATGTGTCCAAATACACACTCACTAAGCACAACAGAACTTGGAAACCCACAAAAGCTTGGTAAATTTCTGGTACCAAAATCCTTATGTCAAAACAAAACAAACAAAAAAATCCATCCATAGCCAATTTAATTTCCCTTTCTTCTACTCTTTCAGCAGAACTTTCTGAAGTTTGTTGAACTAAACAGAGTTCATCTTTCTACTTTCATTCCTAATCACAGTATTTTTATAACTGAAGTGTGTGAAGAATTCAACATTGCCTTTTTTCAGATCTATGTGGTCACATGGACATGAAGCTGAGGATATTATGACAAATGCATCCTAAATTTGACTGTGTAAGTACTTATTTGTTTAGTAGCCAAATTTTCCTACTGAAAGTCAAAAATCTTTGTCTTAAAAAGTGTTCATTTAAATGTTTTGGATTGTTTGATTTCAGCATAATTTAAGTGTTTCTTATGGTCAGAGCCCAGCTGATGCCAGGAACAGCTCTCACTTACTAGGAATGTTTCCTTCTAAGCACATTCCCTTGAGTAAGAGAGCAAATGACACAATTGCTAACTTCTATAAATAAAGTAACAGTTTAGGATACCTAGTTTTACCCCCCCTCCATCTGCTTTTTCAGCCTTTTCCTAAGTGGAACAGGGGAGGGGAAAAAAAAAAAGGACAAGCTCAGGCACATTCCACACGTACATTCTCTGTACATTTAAATTCATGAAGCCTTATTTTCCTTTCCTTGGTATCTGATTTTTTATGTATTTATATATTCTTATGTCTTACCTATGTGTTTAGTGAGAAACTACAAGCTAAATGTGTATCTTTAACTTCCAAGTTTATTCTAGCTGCTTTGGCTGCATCAATGACACAAAATGAACAGCTTAAACATTAACTCATCACTTTACACTACAGCTAGAGTTGAGGACATTGGACCAGATAATACTCCACCTTCTCAAAACTTGAATCTTAGAAGTAGCTAAACCAACAGAGATTTTCAAAATGTTAGTGATTAACTCAAAGGACTGAAAAATTACAAGAGACTGTCCAAGTCGAACACAGTTGAGTTCAGCAGCTCAGTTCCCAAGCTGATCTGGAAAATAAGTTTTAGAAAAATAACATCACAGTAATGCTGTCACCATTCAGTTCCCTTTTAGCTTCCAGAAAAAAGGAAGGACATACAAAAGGAGAATTCTTCCTCAACGTAACAACTGCAGACAAAATGCAGTTGGGCTTTGAAGAACAGTTACTGACTTGAGAAAAAGGAACTGGCACACTCTCACTCTAACATTTTGAAGCACAGTGGAGAAAGACAGTCCTGGCAGTTTTAACTGGCACTAATTGTAAAGTGAACTTCAGCTTTTCAACTACACAGTGTGTGCTTCCTCTCAGTCATGTTACAGCTAAGCCCACTGACGGTCAGCTGTCTCTTGTGGTAGGGCTCATAATTTGCTTCCCTTCCTTAAATACCTTGTGGCTACAAAAAGATATATATATATATATGTATGTACACACACACATATATATGTATGTAATAAGTTATTTTTGATGCAAAAGACTTTTACAGATCAAGCCTGTCCTACAGAGTATCTCTGGAAGCAGTATGTTCTTGTGCCCCATTCAAAGTGCTAGTGGTAAAAAAGAGAGGTCTCTGGTAAAAAATCCATTCACCCCATTAGACTAGTTAGATTTGCAGCACACAAATTTGCCTAGGAAACAGCAACATCTCTGGGCTGAAGCAATCAGTAGTTCTGGGGAAACCCTCTCCTCCAAGGCACTGGCATATGGCACTAGAATCAAACATACAAGGCACTGGTATCACAGCACAGCCTGTTCCTTACCCACACTGCTCCCTACACTACTGCTGTCAAGACCACTACTCCTGCTCTTGATTAGGGTCTACCTGCCAGTTTCACTGGGGTAGAGGAGAGCTGTGCAACACCTGTGACACATGCTGCTCTCTTACACAGTTCCCATGGAAAGGTTACTGTGTTTGCTCCAAGAGAAAATTGCCAGACACGTGGAGTAATGACTCAACCACCTCCCTCCAGCTGTGCAAAGGCAGCAATCACGGGTGGAGAGTGCTCCTTCCATAGGATGCTCGCTGATACATCGTCCATAACAATAACCACCTTGAAAATGTGAGTATGTTTTACACACAAACCCACACACCACATACATAGAGCTTATACAGAATTCACATTCTGTCGTATTCTGCCAATTTCTAAAAAAGCACTCCAAAAACAACAGGTTAAGAAGGTTTGAAATGAACAGCAGATTTAAGTCACTCATGTCAAAACACTGTCTTTTACTGTGGCAGGATCAAAGAGCATTCCTTATACTAGAGATTCTGCTGTCTGAATCTGGTTTGCTATTCTGGCCAAAAAGCCCTTATTTTCAGCTACTGTTATCTACAAATAGATGCCTACAGCTAGAAATTTACATTCTGGAAATGAACACAATATTAGTAGAAGAATACAATTAAACTAGATTCAATTATGCCAGAGACCCAACGGTGTCCCCATAAAACCACATTGATTTATAAATGCAACTTCTCTGTCTTCTTTTTAATCTAACCTTTATAAAAAAACCCCACAACTCTGCATAGGAGAAACTCTTGTTTTGTATGTATGAGTATGTTTGAGTATGTACTAGCAAAAACCCATCTTCAGTGGAAAGAGATATTACAGATTTTCAGCTCAGCACACAGATCTACAGATTTGTTTCTTCCTAAACACAGACTCCTGAGGCTTTTTAAATTTGTAAAATTCATAAATTTAGTATAACTGCCAAATAAAAATACCATGGTCTATGTAATGTGACATTGCTGGTACACCACCTTAATGGATTTATTCAAGATCACAAGTCTTTGGACTAAAAGGCATACTACTAGACAGGCGTTTCAGAAGATTTTTTATTACAATACATGCATACATGTCTGATATGTCCCCATTCATCTCATCAAATAAATATTCATGAGACTGAACATTGCCACACCTTATGCCTTTTCTTTGACTACAGCAGAACTAACTTGTCTTTGGTCCTGTGTGTGATAGAAAATGCTACCCTGTATTGTTTGAGAAAGAAAGATCACCTCTTTCATTTCACCAGAAGTCTTTTTATGTTTAACATGGAAAAATAAACAGTACCTGCAATATTCAGTATTCCATGAAGTAAACAGGCACAAAATGTTGCTTTTACATATTAACAAATAAAACAGTGTCCTACTCACATCTGCATTAGGCCAGAGCTCTTTGATAACATTTTCTATTCTGTTCACCACTTCCATCCGCATTCTCTCTTCTTCAGGTCTGGGAGACATATACTTATAAAAGTCAATGATTTCTTCATGAAGACTATGAAAGAAAAAAAACAGAAAGAAAGAACAAAAAGTCAGAAAAAAGCCCACATGCGAATAAATATCAACTATTCTAACCAAATATGCTTTTTAAGCTCCTAGTTCCTAATTTTGTTAAGGGGCAATTTTAGAGCAGCATGCAATTACAAAAAAAATCCACATTCACAACACATTGTAGCATTTAGTTCCACCTTAGCTTCTTATTGCCAACAGGTCAATATTGCCCTTGATTTGTTGAAAGCATGGAAGCAAATCTAAATCCAAGTGCCTTCAATTCACATTGAAAGTCACACTCTATTTTAACGCCAGCATAACACAGAAATAGTTCAGTCTTCAACTATGAACACAGCTGTAGCTCTGAGTACACACTTCACAAAAATTTAAACAGGAGGTTTTTAGCCAACACTTCCTAGTCAGCCCCTTGGCACCAGGCAGGGAGCTTCAGGCAGCAAGCAGTCTGTATTCAATACCACGCTTGCAAAAGTTGACAGTAATTGTGCCAGTACTACAGCTAGCAAAACTGCTTCTTTTACTGCTTATAGAAGTCACATAAACTAAAAATGTACTCTCCCCCCACAACCCCAGAAAGTAAGTAGTATACATGCAGCAGCAGTTGCTCAGAAGAGTAAGTGACTGACGGATGGTTAACCCATATATAATTTACCATATTACATGTGTTTTTCATTTGTCAGTAAGTTATGTTTAGCTTGTTTGTAAAGAGAGCTGAAATAAAAATGTCTTCATACAGTGCTACAAATTTCTGTGCTTCTGTAGTACCAGAAACACATCATCAACTTGACTAATAATGTAATTCCAGACACTGAGTAACTAAATTAATTTCATTTGTTTCCTGCAATGACCATTATAGTAATAGCTAGTTATCTTTTAAGAATGTATTGTTTCTAGTTACCAAGTACAACCGCATCTTTCATTAAAGCTCCGAGGGACCACCAGAAGAGAGCAATTTATTAAGACCAAGCCCTTAGCTGAGATGTGGGATCTAATAGTTCCCTACTGCACACACACTTAAATAAATCAAATGTTAATAACTGGAAGCTGTATACAGGTGTAAACAAAACTGATTAAAATATCTGACAGTTGTGTTTAACAGAGTCAGAGCAGGGAAAGAACTCAAACCACCTGTGTTAAATTCTTCCAATGCTGCAGTTTTATGAACAACAAGCTTCTCTCTCTCCATCCCCAAGTTAGGGGAACAGTCACAAAAGCCTGGCAGCTTGTGGTGGCCACCACCATGACTCTCTCTATAGATAAGGCTAAGATAAAAACTCCTCTGACAGAGAAAATATCTTACCTCCTCCTACAGCTGCTTTCTTGCTTTTCCTTGGAAGCTTACATCCTGGAGCTACTTATACCTTACATCACACTGACTACTCTGCCTTCAGCTTCTCAGCCATCTCCTGTTCCTCTACTCTTCACTGCTATTCCATGTGTTGGCATTTAAACTTTCTTACCCTTATCTTCCCAGCACAAGTACTGGATTCAGGTGAGAAGTATGTGTTAAAGGACACATTGAGCACTCCAAAGACCAAGTTCACTGCCAGTCACGTGTACTGAATCACTAATTTAGTTTCCACATGCTTGACCATGAATCTAGCTTTCAAAACCAGAAGCAACAAGGAAATGGGAAAAGCCCCAGTAATTAAACTCCTGAAAACAGAAATTACTTATCAACTGTAATTTGGTGAGCCAGCTTCCAGGAAGACCTGGGAGTCAGATCTGTCTTTAGGGGGTACACAGTGGGAACTGATGAAGAAACGCTGCCCCATTTCTGCATCTGCTCCTCTGGACTAGCTGGAGCAGACTAGCTGCACCCACAAGGCACATGATTTGCCCCACAGCAGTGTTTTCAGCAAAGACTGAATGGCCACATGCACTGCAAGCCACAGGAGCAACACCAGGAGCTGTCTGAGAGCACTGAATTGCATGAAACATGCTGGGATGGTACCAAGGGAGTATCCCTAGGGAGAAATTCATGCGTGGCACAGCACAAGTCCATGCTGTCCATCAGTAGAGGGCCCAGCTGCTCCTGGGCTCACACTTTATGGGAGTTAATTGTTGCCCTGTCCCATTAGGGAACTTTGAAAGAACAAGGCAATCAGAAAATAGGTCCCCAAAGTGCACAGAGAGCCAAGCCATACAGTTGACACTGCAGTTCTCTGCACTGCTCTTTATTAACTTCACTGACACTCTTAATCCAGATAATTATATCAATTGGTGCATTCTTTAGAAGTGCATAAAATAATGATGTTGTCAGAACCAGATGTATTTATTTTTCTAAACATAAATAACAGATGTCTGCATTTCTTTGAATAGGATCCTTCTTATTCTTAGGTAGTCATGAAAAGCTTTGTGGCAAAACGAAAAATTATGCTACGTACAAACACACGTTACACATGCACCGAATGTTAGTAAACACTGCACAAGTAGAAAAAAAAAGAAATCTGAACTTTTTCAATGATAGAAGAAAGCCTTTAAGACTACTAGAGAGAGTTCTCATTGGCACTCTGTTGGAAATAGTACAGACATATCTGTGTTTCATCTGCTGTGAGACTGCCTGCTGCCAGGACCTCCTGCCTGCACAGAGCCATGGTGTGCAGAGGGCAGGCAGAAGCTACAGGAGCCAGAAGACAACACCTGGATCCATATTTCCCTGCCCAATAATAGGCTGCTGCCAAGAAATAAGGGAATGATTAATTAAAGCTAAGACAAACAGAAGTAGGCACACGTGAATTTCAGAGCAGTACAACATGACTTAGACGTGTGACTCCAATTAATGTGGAGTTAACTCATGCTGTATTGAAAATTAAAACTCAATGTTATTCACTCTCTTAGTCAACATCTATTATAGTCACTGTTTTTCAAAACAATTTATTAGGATTAATGGAATCTGTTTACAGAAGTCTCTAGTGAAATTTTCTATATTTAGCCAAAATGAAGATCAAAGAGACTGAGATGTTCTTTTTGGCATCGTAACAGTATTTTATTATTTAATTATTTAATACCATTACATTCATCAGTAATTTCAGATAGAAGTCCTTAAAAGGAGATTTGTTTATAGAAGGAAATTACACTGCTATAAACTTGATTTCACTATTGAAAGATATTTCATTTGGCTTTATAGTCATACTGAAGCATACCCAAAACATACTTAGGATGTTTGGAGATGGAGAGAATTCCCTGCCATACATAAGAGCATTAGTTTGTTGGTTTTTTTACAGCAAATAGGAGTGAACGAGTCAGTCCTTGTCCTGTACTTCAGGAAATCTTAATACATGGGGAAAAATAAAAATAAAATAAAAAGTTCTCTTACACTTTCTCTAAACAGGTTTAAAAACAAAGTTCTAACTGTATCAGACCTGTTTTCAAGTCTGGTAAGCTGATTCCATCAGAATGTCACAGAGAGAACAGAATTATAGAGAAGCCACTCAATTTAATTTCATGTTCACCTGAGAAGGACAGTGATGCATCATTAAAAAATAAACGATAGCTGTGAAAGTTGTAATGACAAGAATGACTTCCCACGGCAACATCACTGAATAGCCCCACAAGGAACACAAGACTGTGAGACTCAAGTCTTTTAGGTGAAAAGTCACAGCTTTTGTGAGGTGCAAGCACTATGGAACATAGTATTTACATTACTCTCTTAGTTCAATCACAGCTTGTTTTGTAGCATAACTTGTGAGCTCTAAATGTACAACTCAGGAATCTCAAGGCCCTTTACATAAGATGTTCTGGAGTATGACTCTCGCTGCACGTCTGGCAATCAATTAAAAAATTATCACGTATGAACAAAATGTAATTTCTGTTTGACACGCAGAGCACACAGGTAATGTGGCCAAGCACATACACTTGATGTGTGCACTTCAGCTTCCTGACACCTAAACCAGCACAACTCTCTCCTGCTGCAAGTCCAGAGCTGGAACCAAGAGTGACACTAGGAGGGACATCACACTATGAAACACAACTGGAGATACTACAAGTGTCACTTCCCTGCACTCAGATCCAGATGCAGAATAAATGAGCAGCCAATTGTCCTTACAGATTGTGGCAGCTTGAAGGAAGCCAGCCTGACTGAACCAGTGCCCAGGGCTCAACAGCCACACCAGCAGCTGCCCTGTGCGGGATCATTCCCTCAGTCCCCACTGTCCTGAGTAGCTGAGCAGCAGAACCCAGTCCTGGCTAAAGCAGAGCCCAGTCCTGGCTAAAGCAGAGCCCAGTCCTGGCTAAAGCAGAGCCCAGTCCTGGCTAAAGCAGAGCAGCCAGCAAGGTCAAGATCATTCTGATCCATTTTGCTTAATCACAGGATAGCAGTTAAGTGTTCCTTTGTGTGTCAACACGCCCTATTATACTAACCAGAATAACTGGTTTTAATTGAAAAAATTTCTGTTTTGGTCATTCAGGAATTCTGCTATACTTCCACTCTCCTCTGGCTCCTCTTTATTCTTCATTTCACAGGAGAAATTATGCAGGCATGCATGTTCTAATTTCTCTCATCAGGGCGTTACCCATGGCTTCTGCTCCAACTGTTCAAAATTCTGCTCATCCATCCCAAAGAGCTTCTCTGCCTTGGGCTTATATATTCCTTTGCACATAACAGGCTATTTGCAACATCACTGAAGATAATTTAAAACAGTGGATATCTACTACACCCAAAAAAGTCGTATAGTGCTTGTACACTACAGATTGGTTTTGGCAGGATTTCTGAAGGAAGTTTCATTTGCAGAATGATGAAAATCTAAATTATTTAGCAACTCTGTGGATGGTGGGCTGAAGCAAGCAGTGAACAGACAGGTGACTTTCATCTTCCCAAACTCTATGAATTTAAGGGGTATTTCCAATATCATCCTGCAGCACTAAATAAGCCTTTTGTATTTGAGTTTTCTTTGGATAAATAATTCCTAAAGGACAATGTTTAATTGCCCCTATCAATTGAAGTCTTCTCAGGACTAAAAAAAAAAACAAAACCAAAAAACAAAG